CAGGAGCAAGCTCATGACTTTGTCTCTTAAATTTCACAGTGATTGCATCCCTGAAATGAAATATAGCTCACATTTTTTTGGTTTTGGTTTTGAGGCTAAAGTGGGGGTTTAGGAGAGGATATCATAATTCCTCCTTGTGGCTACAGAATTATCCTAAGGGGTTGCTCCAACTGAGTAGAATAAGTATTGATCAAGTCTCCATCACCCTCAAGACCACAAAAGGAGTTATTCCTTAGCCTCTGAGGATCTGGTATCTCTGGAGAAATCAGGAGACCTGACCCCCTACCTCCCTTCAGAGCACGTTGTAGGAGGTGCAGACCAAAGGTGAGTTTACACATCAGTGACTAAAGCTTCCTGCCACTAAGCATAAGAAGTCACTCATGAGCAGCGTCCCTAAACCACAGCTACAGGATGTGGGCACAAACCCTTGTATAATTGTTGGCCAAGAGCCAATGAGCATTCATCCCTGTGCAAATACTTGGGCTTTTTTGTTGTTGTTAACCTTTGAAAACCACAGGTATTAGCCTCTCTCTTTCTTTCCCTTGGCACGAGTCATCTTCTTTTCTCCAACTTGGTTTCTTGTGTGTAAAGAATTTCTGAGGAACTTTTAAGCCTAAATTTAATACTTTTGTCTGCCCCTCTCCTGCCCCGCAAAATGCCAAGCAGAGGTAAATCCACCTTACAAAATATCTGCTGGCTGTCCTGGCTTCCGCAGCTTTGTTTGGGCTTTTTGATCAGATAGAAAATCAGAAAGCTCTATGAGTGACCTTAACCTTTATGAAAATACAGGACATTTCTGGAAATTCCCTTTAAACGACGTGACCTATTTTTTTCTCACCTCAGAATTAACATAACAACTATGAGAATACTGATTTAGATGACATGCTTCTTCTCGAAAGAAAGATATATAGAAATAGCAGTGGACCAGGAATAGGAAACTGGGAGCTTTCGGATCTAATTCTAGTATTGCCAAAAATTCACTATCTGCTTTTTGAGCAATTCCTTTCCACTTTGTAGGTCTTTGCTCTGTGAAATAAAAACACTGGATTCGATGGTTTATATGCTTCCTTAGTCTCATAGCTCTCTCTGTGAATTGGCTTCCTTAGTAATGCTTCAGCAGAGAATGATCCTCATGGCAAAAGATCCAAACATGTAAGGTCTCCTTTATTTTCTGCTTCAGAGGCTGGCCAAAAGGCAAGCATCGAAAGAGGCCTTATTGCCCACTAGGAGGTCAGGCATGGTGGTTCTTGACCACTCCTCTTCTTATAAATGGTAGAGAATTGATCCACCTTGCTTGTGTATTCAAATGTTCCCCTCTTCTTGATATGAAAACCCAAGCTGAACCTACTCCAGCATCAGAATATTTTTAAATAAAAGAGATGGCAGATAGACATTACAGGGTTTCTAAGTCCACAGAAGGAGAATTTCGTAACCATCAGAGATGCCCAAGATGTATCAGAAGACTGTCAGCAAGCTGTTGATAGAAATGTTCAAGAAGTTCTGAAAAGAGACTTATTGGGGATTTTCTAGTGGAAATTTCAGTATGAGATAAAAAGAATAAACTCAAATATATGGTGAAGGGAGGAGACGACTTTGAGTGGTGAACATACAATGCAATATACAGATGATGTGTACACTTAAAATCTATATAATCTTATATAACCGATGTCACCCCAATAAATTTAATAATTAAAAAAAAGATTAGATAAAAAAGATGACTGACTATGACATTTTTATGATATGCTTTGTACTTAACACCTCTTGTATCTAATCCTATTCTCAATCGAATCTATGATGCCCCTTTTGGAAACTTTATTGGTATAGTTCCGATAATAGTCTAAAGAAAAAGCCCAGGTTCACATATAGGTTTCCTGATTTGTGGATGTTAGCTGAGCTTAAAGATAAGGACCCCAAGTGAGAACCCCAAGTGTCAAATGAGAAAATGATGGTCGGTGGGCCCACATTAACCAAAAAACCATTCCCTGAGAGAACTGAATTTAGTTGTTGCCTTTGGTTGTTGCCTCACTTTCTGCTGCAAAAGTCACATCACTCTACAGGCAGGTACTAAAAGATTTTTTTTATTTAATAAAATAATTTAATCTCATTTTATTGAGTCCTCACAAAACCTCTATGAAGAAGGCTGAAGAGGTATCATTGTCTCTATTTTGTAGATGAGGAAATTAAAACTTAGGAAAGTGAAGGTAATTTTTCAGGGTCTCACATGATTGATTCAAACAAAAAAGAATCTAATTATTTAATCAATAGCAATAATTATTTGAAGAATCATAAAAATCATAGGTTAAAGGACTACATTAGTCATCTCTTTAGCAATCCTTTTCACAATATCCACTTTATCTGTCTCTACTTGAACACTATTTCAAGAAGCAATCCATGCCATTTTTTGACATTTCTAACTGTAAGATTATTCTTATCTTAAATTACCCTTTAAATTCTTGTATGCTCTCATTTTTTATCATAACCCTGCTTTCTAGATCTCATATGTTACTTTATCCCACAGAACAGCCTTTGTAAAATGTGAAGATAGTTCTCCTGTCATTTGAGTTCACTCTTCTACATACTAAACAGCTTTGGTATCATTAACTGCTTATCCTATTGTTACAGACTGGACCTCAGGGCTGAGAGACATCTACCTCCTCTCATCTTTTCTGATTTGATTCCATTGATGATGCACTGAGTCCTTTAGAAGGTCATTTGGGAACAGTCCAGCTTGGATTACAAAGGGGACAACTATGCAGAGAGAAGTCAATTGTCAGGCTGATCCTTAAATGGTAACTCAAAAGAATGGGCTGGACATCTCAGAGGCGTCTGCCAACAAATGCCACTATCTTGAGGCAAATAGAGATTTTTGGGCAGCAGTGTTATAATAATTTGCCAATTATATCTACTTCAGAACCACTGCCAAAACAATCTAACGACTTTTCATTCCACTACTGTTGACAGGACAGCTAAGAATTTCAACATTTCCTTTTACAGTATGAATAGAAGTTTCCTGCCTTGGGGACTGTAACAATATTTGTCATCATAGGGGAAAAAAGTGGGTGCTGAGAATAGGAAAGAGAGGGAAGGAGAAAAATACTTATGGAAGTAAACAGAGACAAAATAAAGTTTATTCAAGGCTTGGGTTTTGAATACCTGCATCGAATTGATGTTTGTGAATGTATCAGAGGACAAATCTTTGGAACTGAGGAAGTTTTTCAAAGGAAAGACTTCAAAAATAGACTCCACATGAGCAAAAAAGTAATATTACCTGAAAATTTGCACTTGAGTATTAACCAAGGTGTCTCAACTTTGGGTCATGGGACATGAAAAAAGTTGACTATAATGTTTACAGTGTTCAACATTCAAAACTTTTTTTCAAAAGAAATTAAAAATAAAATAAAATTGAAAAAATTAAAAACTAAAAGAAACTTGAAGAGATGATAAAAGATGAGATAATCTCCAGAGTTCTTCAAAATTAGATTTAAGTCAAGGAGAAACAAAGAGGAAATAAGAGAAAAGAGTAATGAAAACAGAACGAGTTAGACAGTGTTTTTGAAAACACACTCCTTAAAACTCTGTGGGATCCACAGACATTCCACAGGAGGCCTCTTTGAGACCTAAAAAAGAGGAGACCAGTGGCATTCCTACCTCCATTTCGCCATGGTGGTCTTACTTCTATCTGTTTTACATATTAAGTATCTACTAAAAAGAAAGGGTCTGCTATTGGGAAAAAAAAAAAAAAAAGCTTAAACAAAAAACTGCAAAAGGAAATGAGCCATTGAAAATTCTTAAGCAAGGAGTGATATGATCAAATTGTGCTTTAGGAATCTGGCAACTGAGAGCAGGATAGATTACAAGAGGGTGAGCCTTGGAGCAAGGATACCAATTAAAAGGCTATGACCTCAAAAAAATAAAAAATAAAAAATAAAACAGGCTATGGCCATTATTCAGGTGAATAGAATAGAAAAATCGATCTAATAATATACCTGTAAGAATGGAAAGAAAGAGTATATAAACAATTTTGAAAGAATAATGAACAATTTGACATCTGAGCATTGTGGTACAATGGTAAGTCACATACAGATGCAGTACTGCTGTGGTCTAAATGTTTGTGTTCCCTCAGATTTTATATGTTGAAATCCTAAAGCCCAATATGATAGTAGTAAGAGGTGAAATCTTTAGGCAGTAATTAGGTTACAAGGGCAGAGCCCTCATAAAAAAGAGCCCTTATTAAAAAAAAAAAGTACAAGAGAACACCTTTGCCCCTTTGCCATGTGAGGCTATAATGAGAGGGCTGTAATCTCAGAAGAGTACTCTCACCTGACCATGCTGGCACCCTGATCTCAGAATCCCAGCCTCTGGAACTGTGAGAAATAAACTTAAGTTGTTTATAGGCACCCAATCTGTGGTTTTTTGTTATAGCAACCCACACAGACTAAAGTAGATACTATATGGAATGTATTTTGCAAGGAATTTAAAGAAACGTAAACTGATGGATTTCAAGGATGATGACTGGGACCATAAAAATGCCACAGAGAAATCCAGAAATTTGAAGATGCTGAATGTGAGAGGCCATTGGAACACTGATATAGATGATAAGCATACACAAATGCAAAATTGAATCTTGAAGAAATATCAAGGATGCATATATGGATTTGGAAGTCATCTTCATTAAAAAGGGTAGCTAAAATAATACAGACAGTGAGACGCCCAATAAAGGAGAAGATCAGGATCAAAAAGCTAAAGATCAAGACCTGGAAAATGCCTACATTTAGAGGACGAGGAACAAGAACCCAGAAGGTCTGCCCTGAGTTTATGATCAGGTATTCATTTGATATTATTTGATGGGCTTAGGAAAATTTATTTTCTGGTTTTAGAAAATTTGATTATACTTATATGAGATCTGAAATGTACATCTATCAGACTAATCAAGCTTTTAAATTTTCTAAGATACTAAATATTCAAAATCATGTAGTATCATTTAAAAGTAGTTAATTGTTTCAGTCTGAAAATATGATAGGCTGAACCAGAATCTTCAATAATGATATATCTGTAGATGATGTACTTACACATCAAAAAGTGTCCTAAAAACCAATACTCCCACGGGCAAGGGAATAGCCAAGTTTGTTACGGTTTCCAATGAATGACATCAGCCCCATGTAGGTTTCAATCAAAATAGGTTCAGTTAACACCATCAGTCTCTTTTGTCTTTCAGATCCGCTTGGATTCTTGAGGGCATTCTGGATAGCTGGAACAAGTTTAGATGTGAACCCAGACAACTGAAGAGGAAAAGAAGGCACAGAGTTAGTGAACACAGATTAAGTCCAGAAGAACCCCATTCCCAGCCAGTTCTTACAAAAGTTGACCACTCTAGAGGGCTGCAGTTATTCTTCTTAAATAGAAATCATTTCTCAGAATTGTTAACATTGCTTCTGCTAGTCTTTTAATAAATTAATCAGTTAATAAATTATGTACATAAAATCATCTGCTTGATCTTGTTTATTTTTTATTATTCATAATTTGTAAACACATTAAGAAGCTGGTTTCATAAATTTGCTGATAGTCTATTAAGAATCAAATACCTGTTGAGTGTTCCTGAAGATTTAAATACAAAGAAGATATAGTCTCTGCCATCAAAGAAATAACTCTGTAATAATCTAAGAAATGAACTTATAATGATTATACAAAGTTCACAAAAATAAATAGCAAAAAGAGGCACACGATGCTAAAGCAGCACAAGAGGGAGAAATCATAAATGGTTAGAAAATAGGAATGACTAAAAGATGACTCGAGATAACCCTTTAAGGGTTAATAGGGTTTCAACCAGTGAAATTGGGTTAGAGAGGGCCCAGCTGACAGCTGATATTTATTCTAACCCAGTATTCTTTCCACCATTTGAGATTCTTCTTGGAATATGAGCACTTTCATTTTCCTTTGGAAAACCACCCTCTTCCATTTAGCCCAACTAGTTTAAGTGGAACTGACTTTGGTACATGAATCAAGACTAACCAATCCAAGGAACCCATTCTTCTGGGTAGAGATTGGTTCAGGTATAGGCGCATGACCAAAGTAATTGTGAAATTGATAGAATACAAGCTTAGAGGTATTCATGATCATTTTTGTGATACATAGTGAGAATGTGACTGAGAGTGAAGCCAACAGAGGTGAAAGAACTAAGATATGGAGAGTGATAAATTCTTAACAAAGGTATTTGAATTACTAGATCAGTCTACACTAAACTTTTAAGTTAAATGAATGAAAAAAATTTTCCTTTCGTCAAGCCAAGTCAAATTGATAAGTCAGGGAGCATTTCAAACAGAGATATAAACAAGTAAATGAATTGAGAAAGTTCATATCTTTGTATTTCTAATAAACTCTTTTATATCAATTATCTCATTCCAATATAAGTCTATCATGTAGGTAAAGGAAGATATAATTATTTTCATGTTAGAAACAAAGGCTCATAAAGGTAAATGACTTACCACAGTCACTCCACTTTCTGTATCATAATAAAAAAAAATACATTTGGAATAAGAGCCTACTTATAGTGAGATCCAAATCTGTTTCCTAGGAAACTGGATCACAAATCTAAATTAAATCTCTTAGAGTATATTTGAATATCAATCCAAATTATTAAGCATACTATATAAGTTATCTTTCCCATGTCTCCATTAAATAGTCTTTGTTTTAAGGGACTAAATAAGAGTGATAGTTCAATAAAGAAGGAGAAGCCTATAGTCTTTCACCATAATCCAGTTGTCTACATAGGTTTTATCCTGGATGCTTAATTCTATACCAAATTTCCCTTGGGCAAACTACTTCTCCATATTAGGTTTAGTTTCTTTACTATTAAGAAAAAAACTCTAAAATTTAGAATTTAGAATGTAGCTATTATTATTAGTTGACTTAACCAATAAGAAAGAAAAAAGGAAAGAAAGAAAAAAGAAAAAGCCATGCAAATGCAACTTCTGTAATTTACTAGTTGTGTGACATTGTAAATTCCCTTCCCCTTTTTTGAGCCTCAGTTTGCTCTCTTGAAAAGAGGTCTTAAAATCTATGTGTTTTTTTTTAGCTAATATCAGAAAAAAAAAATTAGTGGCTGATGATAAGACAACACAGAGTTTGCTAGAGCACCTCAATATCTGTGGGTTTTTCAGAATAGCCTAAGGTATTTGTCCTTCTACTTTTCTTTAAAGTAATGTTTACCTAATTGGATAATACAAAAACACTAATTTAAAAAAGCACACTCTGCTGAGGTTAAAAGATCTAACAGACAAGTAGGGTTTTTGCTTGTTCTCCATGAGTTTCATGTATAGCAGCAAAGATAGACCGAAAGTACCTCTTATTACCAGTACCAGCATCTTCTTTAGACCTTAGAAGGGATCTAAATATTGGTGTTAGTAAATTAACCAAATATAGTCAGTCACATAGGCAGAGGATTCTGGAAGGAAGGACATCCTTCATTTCAGTGAACTCTACCAGTGCTTCAGTTAACTGGATAAGAAAAGCAGAAAAAAGAGTTCTTTCTTCAACTTCCAAAAGAGGAAAAGCAAAAACAGAATAATTTCCAGGTTTTGATAACTATATTTTAGTTATGTAAGTTGTTAGAAGGGTTTAAATAACAGGTATATGAAAAGTCTACTATATTTGCAACTTTTCTGTAAGTCTAAAATTATTTCAAAATGGAAGGGTTTTAAAACCTAAATTTAAAAATTCTAAATATTAGTTCCCCAAGATTGTTGAAGTTTTCAATTAATCAAGAAGAAAAGTTTAAAAGAAAAACAGGTACGAGAGAACATTGCCACTTTGTTTTTCTTATCTCTATATTTTTAATATAAACTTCTATCAAAATTATACAAGCATTAGTAAATTTTCATTAATATTATGTATCTGTCATGAATTACACTGAGACAATTAAATTCATTAATTTTCATCCAATACAGTTAAATAATTTTTATTTTTTCTCATTTTTTAAAATTTTTCTGAAAAATTCCACTGAATAGATTCTTTCCTTTGCAACTTTTACAACAAAAATTTGATTTTTGTCCATTTTAAATTTAACAATTATGTTTTCTTCTGAGGGCATTATTTTTAATATTATTATTTTCCTGAGTGTGATTTTAGTTGTTAATTTTGTATTTAACTCTATTAAGAATAACTCTCATCAGGCCAAATTTTACTTCTTAATGTCAAAAATAATATGTGATTTTTTAGTTTGTTTACCAGCTATATGTGTACCCAGTGCTATGTTGTTTTAGCTGCTTTAACTTTCCATGTTTATATGAATTATTACTATTGGTACTGTGGACTAACTTTCTGTGTCACTAACAGATGAAAGGCCATCTAAAATCATTCAAGAAATATTGATGAAGCAGCTACACTCTACTCCAAGTACGTTCTAAGTACTGTGAGTAGACAAGTAAGAATCCTGCTCTCATGGAACTTATATTCTTGTGGTCTGAGACAAAAAGTAAAAATAGATACAAGCGATTTTGGTAGTGAAAAAGATCTAGAAGGAAAAAAAAATATGGTAAAGAGATACAGAGTAATGAGACTGAGGGTTACTTTATTTATATATCATATTCAGAGCAAGTGTTTCTGAGGGAGAAAAACTTGAACTGAGGCCCAAAAATAAAAAAGAGGCAGTCATTTGGAGAAGGTATTCTAGGAAGAAAGTAACAGCATTGCTAAGGCTGTGAGGTAGGAATGAGCTTAGTTTATTTAAACGCCACAGAAAAGGTCAGTAAGACTGGATTATAGTGATCAAAATGAAGAGGTCAGAGCACTGGGCATGAAGAATCTTGTGGACCATATTAAGAACTTTGGATTGAAATGATTGTAAAGACAAGTTTAATGTCTCAGTTTTAAAAAAGAATTCCAGCTGCTATTTAGAGAATTTACTGTCAGGGGAAAGAATAGAAGCAGGAAGATGAGATGAGTTTGGAGGTCACTTCAGTAGTCCAGGAAAGAGGTGGTGTCTTGGACCAGACAGTGGAGAACATAAGAACTGGTTGAATTGGGAATACTTTTTCAAGGTAGAGTAACAGGACTTGCTGATATGATTGAATATAGAACAGAAGAATTGAAGATGACATCTAGATTTTTTGTCTGAGCAATTGGGTAGATGGTGATATCATTAATGAGTTGGAAAAGCCTATGGGAGTAGGGATTGGAGGTGGTAAGGTGTAGAGATCAAGGATTCCATTTTAGATGTGTGTTGTTTTAGATGTCTCACCAGTGAGTCTCTTAGAGATTTATAATAGTCAGCTAGATACATGAGCGTGGAACATGAAGAAATATACAGATGAAAAGTCCATGTTTACAGTTAAAAATTCTATAATAATAACTATAGATCCAGAAGTCAAGAACAATATTCATAAAGTAAAGTTAATAGCCTAAACAAAATAGGCTATAAGGCAGGGGTTAGAAATCAAAAATTTCAGAAAACTTGTTGAACAAGATTCTAGGCACTAGGGGAAATCAATGCACAGGGGATCTAATAGGTAAACTGAGGGTTCAAGTGTTCCAGAGATTTGCCCAGTACCAAATAGCTAGTATGCAATTGAGCAAGTTCTTAGACCTAGGTCTCCTAATTTGAGTCCTAAAGTCTTCTTTTCTATAAAATACTGCTATTATGAACTGTAAAATTCTAATATTTAGGAAAGGATTCATGTTTCTTGTTTTCAAAAGGGAGAGAGAAAAAAATCAGACTCAGTAATTACCAAACCCATGTTCCTTAGAACACTAGATTTCCTCATAGGGTGGGTGACCATATAATTTATCATCCAAGCCAGGATTCTTTTGAAAAGAAAGGAAGTGTTATTAATAATGTTGGGAAAACAGATTCCTGAGGGTTTGGAGCAAGGGTGTGGAAGAAAAGGAAGAAGCTAAGCAGGTAACCTGCTTCAGTTCCTGAAATTACATCAATTAGAGTTGCTCTGTTTTTATCAGTTTTATATATTTGGGGTCTGAATAAGATTTTATTTTAAAAAGACTTTAACATTTTTTTTGAGAAACACTATACTAAGCTTGCCTAGGAACCTCAAGCTCTGACTATTCAATCCACAAAGATCTATAGTGCCCACATTTCTATTCATCTTTTAAAACCAAGCTCAAATCCTCTCTCCCACAAGGCCTTCTCACTCTAGGCAAAAGTTATTTTTTTATTCTATTACATTTCATGTATACCTCCACTCAAATATTTTATCCAGTTTTCTAAGAATTAGAGTTACAAGTGTGGCTGGCTGTCAATACAACTAAATCAAGGTTTCTTCGCCTT